TATGCAAATACCATTCCCTTCATCCTCAAGGTGTGCCAGCTGGGCTCTTTAGTAATTCACTAATTTTTGTATGTGTATTGTAAGAATTAGAAGCAGAGGTTAATTGTCCAAACTGATGAGCTGGTTTTTTTTTTTTTTTTGGTTTTTTTTTCAGTTGTGCACTTCCCAGAAGAGTGTTTGTTCTATGTCACAGAGCAGTTTCCTCCTTTCCTATACTTCAAGGGTTTGCAGTGATGCTGCACAAGCAAGACAAATGCCAAAGTTCAGCCAGGACAGAAGGCTGTGGAAGTCCTGGGGCTGTTGATTTGCTCCTGCTTTGGCAGCTTTGCCCTCTTACCCAGAGCTTGGGTGGGATCTGTCTGGCAGAGTGGACATCCTCTGTCATCTCTAAAGGCTGGTGCTCATCTGGCACCTCTGTGTGGGGAGGTGACCCAAAACTCTTTGTTTTGTCAGTGTAGCCCTCCAGAAAGCTGGGATGAATTTGAGTTTCATTCCATGAAGGCTGCTCTTGGCAGTCCCTGCAGAGAGCAGCATGTGCCTCAGCATTGCTGCCTCTTTGGGGAGAGCTTACAGTGAGCCCCCCAAGTGTGCTGCTGAGAAATTGAGCTCTTGGCAGTGCTCATCTCTGTTTTAGCCAGAGCTGGGCTGTGGGAGCCCCTTGGAGAGCAGATCATGGCTCTGCAAGCACTCTGGCTTTCCCTGTTGTGGGATGGAGGGTGCTTGTGTGAGGAGGCTCATCATCTCTAGAACAGCTAATAAGGAACAAATGAAGATTAGCACCACGATGGTAGAGATGAAACAGCATATTTCAGTCCCCTGCCCAAGAGTGGCATTGCTGAGCTGCAGTGCCAGGCACTCCAGGAGCTACCAGCCAAGGGCAAAGAGGAGCTACTCATGCTTGTATCCACCCCTGAACTGCAGACAACAATGTGAATTTTATTTTTAAGCTGGTTGTAGGCTTGCTCCAGTTTTCTCTTTAATCATGAACAGATGCACTTAGGTCCTGTTTCTTGCAGACCTGGGTGCCAAGTGGGAGAATGACTCATGCAGCAAAGGAAGGCTGAATCTGCAGACACACCAGCCTTGGGCTCCTTGTGTGTGTTTGGAATTGCCAGGCTGTGGAGTGTCTTGCTGGAGGATCTGTAAGGTGTCAAGTGCTCATAATCCATAAAACTGAAGAGCTAGAGATGAATGCTGTGGCTTTTTTGGGTTGTTTAGGTGGGGTTTTGGGGGGGTGTTTTGTTGTTTTGGATTTTTTTTGTGTGTGTGTTAGTTGTAATATGCAATGAAAAAGTAATAGATACAAAACAGAATTTTCTGATTCAGCAGAGATGTCTCCAGAGCAAACTGGGGATTACCTTGGCTGGGAGCAATGCAGCTCCTCTGCCCCACAGGGCAGCACTGAGGTGGGCAGAAGCTGCTGCTGCTGGCTGGGAGCTGAATGCCAGCTGAGGTGCCAGGGGTGACTCTGTCACCTTGATTTCATTAAAAAAAATAAGTTTTTTTTTACCTCGTGCTTCCCTTCCCTCAGCACGGGAGTCTCTCCTGTGGTCCCAGGTGATGAGAGCAGGATTCCTGGCAGGATTCCTGTCACTGGGGTGAGCCTGTGGGGGTCCTGTGGGATGGTGGGGGGCTGCAGCAGAGCTGAGGGCTCTCTGCTGAGGGGCTGGCAGGCTGCTGAGGAGCAGCAGGTTGCTATGATACAGTTTGCTGTGGCAATGTCTGTGCTGAATGAGCCAAAGCTGCCCCTACAAAAGGAGCATTCCTTGGCTGGGAGGGGGTAGATTTATCTGAAGTGTTTATGTAAAACTGAGAAGCTGCAGGGAGAGGATGTGCGTGGGAACGTTTCCTCCAGCACCAGGGCCCCTGTCTGGAGGCAGACAGCTCTGTGTGCATGGGGGAGAGGGCAGGGCTCAGATAAAGGACCGGGCTCATTCAGGCATGCAGATCAGCCCTGGATCTCCCGTCCTGTCCTGTCCTGTGCTCTCAGCCCATGGCAAAGATGAGACTGAAGAGCCTGTTCAAAGGGGAGCTCAGCACTGCTGTGCTCGGTGCTGCTGTGAAAGCAGCCAGGGCAGGGCAGGGCTGGCTCATCTGGCTGTGCCTTGGGGAGTGCTGTGTCTGCCCGGGGTGGCTCTGCCCAGGGTGAGCTGCAGCAGTGTGAGCCTGAGGCAAGATCAGAAACCTCTGTGCCCAGGACCCTGGCTCACCCTGCCTGCCTGACTGGCATCTCTGTCCCCAGAGCTGCCCAAGATGCCACAGGGACTGGCTCCTTTCCATTAGGGAGCTTGACTTTCCCTCTAGGAAGAGGCTGGGCTCTGCGGAGGTGAGGGTCTGTTTCTTCTGTGCTGATCCCAACCCCTTCCCTTCCCAGTGACTTTGCAGGGACAGAGCCCCATCTCTTCCCAAGAGGAGCAGGGGCTGCAGGTGCCTTTGCTCCTCTGGGCTGGCTGTAAGAGCTGCAGACACCTGGAGCCGATTTTGCTGGGATCCAATTGCACATCAAATCCAGGGCACCTTCCCCTGCAGGGGCTGGGCTGCTCAGAGCCCTGGAGCTCTGCTGTTGTAGGTACCATGGTCTGAGCTGGATGGCCAGTCCCTGGCACTGGGCAGGGTTTGGGAGGGCTCCACAAAGCCCTCAGCCTGCCCCACGTGGGCTCTGGGCAGAGGCAGGAGTGTCAGGCTCTGCTCCCCAGGTGTTTGCAGAGCTCCTGCTGTGCTGGGGGACTGTTCCCCGCTCTGCACCTCAGCTGGGAGCCCCTGTGCACACAGGACCTGGGGCTGGAGATCCTGCAGAGAATCAGCCCATTCTCCTCTGGTGCCCAGCCCAGGCAGATTTCCAGAAACATAAGCCATTCCTTCCAGAAACATAAGCCATCATCATCCATAATTCATCAGGTGCTGAACTTCATTGAGGAGCCACCTGACACCTGGGCTGCACCCTTCCCCTGGGGTGGGAAAGTGCCAGGTCCAGACATCCCAAGGAGCTGCAGCAGGAAGCAGGGCTGGCTTCCTCAGCCTAGGATGACAATCCTGCTTTTGGAGGAGGCAGATTCACAAGGACTCTGGTGTCTCTGTTTCCTCTTCCCATAAATAAAATCTGCTTCTCATCCCTCCAGGAAATTTGTTTGTTTTTGCAATATAAAACCAAACCAATGTTTTTAAGTAGCAGTGAGGCTGATTGTTCCATGACTGTTTGCTGAGGTGTCTGCACTCACCAACAGAGTGCAGTGCAAATAAAAATGCTATGGCACAGTGACTTTATTGCCTGAAATTTGCATTGAAGGTATGTGTGTAGTAGAAGCACTGCAGGATTCAGGCTGGGCTCTTTGCCTGCTCACAGAGTTCCTGTGGAATGCAGAATCATCCTCTTCCATTTATAGCTCATTCACCAAATCCTGTCACTTCTTTTATATACCAAAAAGAATCTGTCTGACTTTTCCCAGCACAAATCCAGAAAGAAGGCAATTCATTTTTACCTGTCACAAATTCTCACAACCTCTGTGAGCAAGCTCTCCAGTATAAAGACAGCGAGGGAGGATACAAACCAGCAGGAGCATTTTCTGTCTTCTCTCAGCCACACCTTTCTGCTGTGAGGGGTGCAGCAGTGGCATGACAAGTGATGGAATCCAGGCGTGAGTGGTGAGCCAGGCGTGTGCAGTGCTGAGCCCTCCTGCGTGAGCAGCATCCCCAGCAGCACCTGCCAGAGGCTCACTAGGGAGGGAGAGGGATGCAAAATTTGCCTCTTCACTCTGTCAAGGGGTAAATATAAGAAAACAAGGGCAAAACATCTGACTTCCATGCCTGAACAAAGGAACTAAAACTCTCTGCCAGTCCATCTCTGCTGAACCTTATGGGGTGTGGTCACTGGTTGTTCTGGTTTGAAAGCAAAACCAGTGAGAGGCTCCAAGTCAGAAATGCAATTTATTAGGAAAAGAAAAAAAAAGAAAAAAAAACATGCAATAATACAAAATTAAAACCAGTGACAGAGTCAGAATACACCCTGACACCCTCTTGGTCAGGGTGTTGGTAGCAGTCCAGTTTGAATGGTGGCTGCCTTCTTGGAGTGTCAGGTGTGGTTCTGTTGGAGCAGGGATCCTGTAGAAGGATGTAGTCTTCCTCTGAAGATCCCATGGGAAAGGCAGCTGTTCCTCTGGGAATCCAGTGAAAAGGCTGTGCTGGTGTCCCAAAAATCTCAGATTCTATCCAGGTAGGAATGCTTGGCTCCTCCCTTTGGGCAGAGCATCTCACAATGGGATGATGGAATTTTTATCAGCCATGCAGGGACACTCAATACCCATTAACAACAGATATCTCCCCAGAGGGAGGATTGGTGGAAGAGATAAAGAAAACTGCCCAGTTAACAGAAGATAACTGCCACACCTCTAACAGATGGCAAATAAAGTACATATTGCCTTGCAATCTAGGAACTGGTCAAAAGCTTGGGTTAATATCCTTTGTTTTCAACAGAGCAGTCTGCATCTTGATGCAGTGTCTCCAGTAGTTACTGGAATTAAAGTCCTGTGCTTGGTGGCAAGGGTTGAGGGTGCCAGGCTGTTCTTTGGCCCAGCAGCAGTGGCATGGGACTGCTGAATCCATCTCTGCTGATCATTATGGTGGTGGTCACTGGTCAAAAGCTCAGGTTAATGTCCTTTGTCTTCAACAGACCAGCCTGCATCTTGAGGCAGTGTCTCCAGTAGTTACTGGATTAAAAACCTGTGCCTGGTGTAGAGGTCTGAGGGTGCCAGACTGTCCCTTGGCCCAGAAGCAGTGGCATGGGACTGCTGAATCCATCTCTGTTGAACCTTATGGTGGTCATCAGTCAAAAGCTCGGGTTAACATCCTTTGTTTTCAACAGAGCTATCTGCAGCTCGAGGCAGTGTCTCCAGTAGTTACTGGAATTAAAGTCCTGTGCCTGGTGTAGAGGGCTGAGGCTGCCAGGCTGTTCTTTGGCCCAGCAGCAGTGGCATGGCACGTGCTGACCCCGCTCCTCTCCGCAGGCTCAGCCTATTACGACAACGTGCGGCCCTTGGCCTACCCCGACTCGGACGCTGTGCTCATCTGCTTTGACATCAGCCGCCCCGAGACCCTGGACAGCGTGCTCAAGAAGGTGAGTGCCCAGCAGCCAGAGGGGTGCTCTGCCCCACCTTGGGGTCCCCATGCCCTGAGGCTCTTGTCAGGGCTCACAGCTCTGGCCCCTGGCCTTGCCTGGGGTTCCTGTGCTCAGAGGAGGACGGTCAGGTGCTCTGCTTGGTCTGTGCAGAATGTGAGATATTTCCCTTTGGAAGGAACCTAGGGGATGGTGGCAGCTTGCAGCATGTGTGTGGGGTCTGTGTTCACACCTACAAATGTGGGGGCAGAGAGAAATGTTGGGCATTTGCTGTGTTTTCCATCAAGACCTTGGAAGGTCTCTGTCAGCAGAACCACCAACGGCTATGGATTGCCTGCAGCAGCTGGGAAGTAGCCCCTGTGCCTGTTTCCAAGCAAGCAGAGTGCTCAGTTTTTTGGCTCTCCCCTCAGTTCAGCATCTGCATAGTGAAAAAGACAGCAATCAGTTCTCTATAGCTCGTCAACAGAAATGATGAGCTGTGGTGCTGAATTTGAAGTGAATTAATAAGATGAGATGGCACAATGCCACTGGCCTGGAGAGCAGGCAGGGCCCTAAGCCTGCCCTGGCACAGCTGAGTGGCTGTGCTCTGTGGGAACAGCTGAGAGTGTTCTACCTGCACCTTTCAGCAGAGCTGATATTCCAGCTGGCAGGTCCCAAAGAGCCTCGCAGGGCTGGGGATCTGCTGTGGAGCACCCCTGGCTGGTCTCCAGTGGGGCACTTCTGGGAGAAAGTCCCACACAAGGCTTTCCTCTGAGGTGAAGTCCAGCAGCCCCAAATGCTGCTCAGAGGAGGGAGGGTCAGTGGCTTCCTGGCTGCATCCCTTGGTCCTGGCTGTGCCCTGCTTGGTTCTGCAGGACAGCATTTGGCAGCTGCATCCTGTCCTGGGGGGCTGGCATTTCATTTGTGACACCCTCTGAGACACCAAGGCATGAAAAGCAGCTCAGAGCAGCAGCTCCCATGGCTGTTCTCCTCAGAGAGCCCCAGGGCTGGAATGGCCACAGCCTGAACATGTCATGCTGCGCTGCCTGGCCTCTTGGCCTCTCCACATTTTGCCAAAGTTGTGCTGAAGCAAGTGCCTCTTACTCAGCTGCTGGGAGGGCTGAGAAGTGGGTCTTTGTCTCAGGAGTGTCCTGGTGAGGGGACAAAGACCCTTCAGATAAAGTGGTCAATGGCTCAGTGTTGGCTTCCAGAGCAGGTCCTGGGTACCAAGCAGGCTGGGTGGAGGGAGGGTGTTTCATGTGGACTCAAAGAATTTACTGCTCAGCTTGGGAGTCAGCAGAATAATAATGCAAGTGAATCACTTGTACCTTAATGAAATACAAACCTCTCAATAATTAGGTGGGGCTGGGAGTTATTTGTCTCTCTGCTCACTCTTCATGTGAGTCCACCCTGCTCAGTGTGTGGTTTCCCTGTACAGCCTCACAGATGTTTTGAGTGCTGTTAGGCAATGTTTTTTTGATATGGTAACTTAAAATACACCCTAAATCCCAGGGGATTTCTTAAGTGCCTCTGAGTAGATGCCTTGTTTCCTTTGGTGCAGGCTCACAGCCTTATGGCAGTGAGGAAAATTCCTTAGACACCATGAAGCTGAAATGGGTTTTAGCTTGTGATATCAGGCAAATAAGGAAAATAACATTTCCTGTTCAAGCCTCAGGCAAAAATTCAGCAGAGGAAATCTTTATTAATGCCTCCCCTCTGATGCCTGGGCTGCTGTACAGCATGTACAGTTGAAGGGGCAGAGGCATCTGAGGGAGTGCAAGCAAGCAGCTCTGCCTTTCATGCAGAACAAGTTTTTGTGGAGCGCTGCTTTGGTTCTGACAAAGTCTTGATAGCACAACAGGTTTTGTGCTCCCAGAGGTGTCAGTCATGCAGGAAGGGGATCACAGCTCTCTCCATAAATTAGGGAGTCCTGTATCACTGCAGAGACCTCTGCCAGGTGTGAACAGAATAGCTCAAATCCTTCAAAATTAGGGTGCTTGAATTCCAGCTCCAAAAGACCTGGAACTGTTCATTGTGAGGTTGTGCAGGCATTTAGTGCTCTGTGGCTGCAGCACCATGACCTCCAGCACGCTGCCCAGGGGCTGGGGGTGCCTGAGTCCTGGGGAACCAACATCCTTGGCAAGCAGATACCTGGAGATACCTAAAACAATCTCCTGATAGAAAATAAGATTTTTCATATTTTGCAGTTGGTTTGGTCTGATGCTGGTTGAATGACATTTGGATGGTTTTTAGCACTCCCTTCCCCACGAGGTTGTGGACACTGGGCTTGGTTTTCTTTCTGCTTCTAATTGCCCAGGGTATAACTTAACCTTGAGTTATTGTAGCAGGAAATTGCTAATTCCAAGTGACACTTCAGCTGGGGGTAATCTCTATTTATTATCTGCTTTCTACTTCAGCACCACTAGATAAGTAACTGGGGCATTGACATGCTGATGGAGCTGTGCAGGTCTCCCCCGGGGGAGGTCACAGGTGATGGATTTATTTACTGCTGCAGACACAGCTGACATCAGGCATTCACTTTGGGAGCTCTGAAAGGAGTAATTTATATGAAGGACATGGATGTTTGCCCTGGCCTTCTCTTTCCATTGCTTTAATTCTTAATTTCCCTGGCTGTAGCTATGCTGTGCATATCATAATGTCTCTAACAGGCGGTTCCCAGTAATAAATAATGTGTGAGTGTGCAAAGAGCTCTCCACTGGCCCTGTTGACCCTTGGGGTCCCAAATCTGAGCACCAGACTGTGTGGCTGTTTTTCCACAGCCAGGGCTGGCCTCCTGTGGCCTTGCACAGGGGAGCACCACTAGGATGGGGCAGGTTTGCAGGGAACAGGTGAGCATGAAGGGTACTTTGGCCATTGCCATCCTTGACCTTGGCAGTCATTAAAGAGCCCTGATATGCTAATCAGTGTTTGACCAGTTGTGACACCCTGTTTGGGAAAACCACACCCACCAGAGCCTCTCCTTTCCTCTGCAGTGGCAAGGGGAGACACAGGAGTTCTGCCCCAACGCCAAGATCGTGCTGGTGGGCTGCAAGCTGGACATGAGGACAGACCTGAACACCCTGCGGGAGCTCTCCAAGCAGCGCCTCATCCCCGTGACACACGAGCAGGTGGGTTTGGCCAGGGCCCAGGGAGGGGACAGCTGTGCTCTGTCACCACTGCACCCAGGCCTTGCAGTTGCAAGTATAGAAAATATAACGTTTCCCAATAATTCTTGTAATTACATTCCTGAAAATGTGATTTTATTCCAAAAGTAAAAGTTATTTGTAATAGTTACTGCAGAAGTATTTAAGAACCCATTACAGAGTGAACAGAACATAACATTACACATCTAAACAAAAATCTAGCAAACAGTGAGAATTACCTGCTCTCATAATAACTGATAGCAATTTCTTCAGTAAGATTTCTCTGCTGTGCAAAATCATTCAGCTGCAGCTGGTTTGGTCATGGCTCAGGGACTCAGAGCTGCTCGTGTTTCCACCACTTTTGTCCCCAGCTCTGGAAGACCCTCACTTATTCCTGGTGCTCTGCTGAGCAGCCACCCGGTTAGTAGCCAAAAAAGTCATTCCTCAAAGCAGGTGGAAGTGCCTGATTTGACAGGCTGGACTGGCTGAAGGGGAGTGTTGTCCTCCTGCATCTCCAGTTCAGTGCAGCTCTTTCTGCTCCCAGTGACTCCTGCTTGGCTTCTGTGTTGGGGCAAAACTGCAGGAGGGAAGAAACCACAGCTGGGGGCTGAGGGGCTGCTGCCAGTGGTCTCCAGAGGAGCCAGCAGTGTCTCCAGGCTGGTGACAGACCCAGACTGGTGCAGGCACTGAGCTGGCTCTGTGTTGTGCAGGGCAGGTGACTGTCCAGGTGAGGGGGGTTGCCCAGGGGTCTCAGCTGCAGGGGGGGCACTGTGTGAATGACAAAGTGCCACTACCCCAGAGTGGCATTCACGCTCTCTGAACAGAGACAGACACAATTTTCTCTCCCTGGGTTTTTCCTAGAGAAGCACAGAGAGAAGAAGAGAAAACAATTCTTATCTCTGCTTGCTGCTCCTGTTATTTTTGCACATGTGGAATGTGTTATGGAGATTGTTTACCTACAGTGATTTGTCAATTAGATTCTGCTGAGGATTATTTTGTTTCCTTAACCAATTGAGTCAAAGTTGTGTCCTGGCTGTCTCAGGATGTTTTCTTTAATATTCTTTTAGTATAGTATCTCTTTAATATAGTATTGTATAATAATATAATATAGTATAGTTTTAATAAAGTAGTTGTTCAACTTTCTAAATCAATATGCCAATCATTCCCAGATGTTAGAGTCACCCTACATTCTACAATGCCCCGGGGCCCAGAGGTTGGCAGCACTGCTCAGGGGCTGCCCTCACCTCTGCAGCTCTCACAGAGCCTTGCCCTGGTGGGGAACCACTGTGTCCCCAAGGTGCCACTGGCAGGGCTGCTGGCTGGGTGGCAGGCTGCTTTGTGAAAAACACCAATCGCTTGTTTTTAGAATTCTAAAAGTTAAATAGCAATAAAATGGTTATAAAAATAGTAATATAGTTAGAGTAATAAAAATTTGGACAATTAGAATTAGGACAATACAAGACAATAAAAACAGAGTTACAGATAGTCTGGGTACCTCTTTCTGGGCAAAATAAGCCTGGAAAAGGACACAGGTTAACAGAGGATTAACCCTTTAAAGCAATAGCCTGTTTCATATTCATACACCTCATACATGATGGATAAATTCCATTCAAAAAAAAGATTCTGTCTGGTCAGTGTCAACTTCTTCCTCTGAATCCTAACGGATAACACATACAATATTAATTTTAATATCTGCAAAAAGCCAACCATAAAGCACACATTTTCCACATGCTCCTCGGCCAGCGAGGTGCGCTGACCCTGTTCCCTCTCTCTGGCTGCAGGGCAGCGCGCTGGCACGGCAGATTGGGGCGGTGGCCTACGCAGAGTGCTCCTCCAAGGTGTCGGAGAACAGCGTGCGGGACGTGTTCCATGTGACCACGCTGGCCTCGGTCAACAGGGTGCACAAGAACCTCAAACGCAGCAACTCCAAACGGGGACTGAAGCGGGCGTCACAGATGCCTGGCAGGACAGACTTCCTGAGTGACACAGAGATCAGGAAAGACCGAGCCAAGAGCTGCTCCATCATGTGAAAAATGGGCTGTAAATAACGTGTGTGTGTTGTCCATTTGTACAGTAACTGGCTGAGACAAGGGCGTGGTGCTGGCTGCAGGAGCTAGCCTGCCTTTCCAAAGCCTTTTTCTCAGTCTCTAGGGCTGAGCAAAGGTGCCAGCTGCAAGCAGGGCTGCACGAGTTGCCCTGCACTGTGGAGAATTCTGGGCTGGCTGCTGCTGTGCAGATTGCTTGGGATGAAGGAACCACTTGGCAGAGGAGTATTCGGGTGCTGGAAGGTCTGTGACTGGGTGAAACAAAGTCAAAGGGAGCAATGTGTGTGTGTGTGTGCCACCCTCCTGTACCCGCAGCCCAGGCCCTGCCCCTGTGCAGCTGTACAGCACACACAGTGTGGGCTGGGGGCTGCGTGGGACCTGGGCTGGAGGTAGGAGGGGGATTGTGAGCAGCAGAGTGTGATCAGGAGAAGGTATTCTTCCAATCTTCCTTCAGAAGGGAAATGATGTTTGAGGTGATGCTGCCCTCGGCCAGGTTGGACAGCAAGGCCAAGGAAGGTGCAGGTCTGGGCCAGAGCTGGGAGGGAGGGAGGCTGGGAAGGAACCTTAACCTGATGAGACACCACAGCACTTCACCTCCTGCAAAGAAAATAGGCAGATGTCTCTTCCCACAGCAATTCAGATACTCAAACTGCAATTGAAACGCAGCTGAGTGGATCTGGCTCCACGGGAGAGGTGTATCCCACTAGATGCATCCTGAGAATGGTGGTTCCCTTCAGCAAGCAAATGCCCCTGGGGAGCTTTGCTGACACCTGGGCACTCCCTGGGCTCTCCCCCTGACCTGCACACACAGCTCCCAGCAATAACTGCAATAACAATCCATATCCTGCTCCCCACCCACTTCCAGCTGCAGATTGTGTTGCATGGTGCTGTGTTTGTCTGGTATCGATGGGAAAAATGCCTTTATGCATATCTGCACCCTGTCTCTGCTGTGGCAGTGGGAGAGGAGGTGCTCCCTGCCCTTGTGCCTTGCTGTCTGGCCTCCTCCCAGCATCTCCCATTGCTTCTGCTGCTGCCCCCTCTGAATGCCTTTGATGACAGTATTAGCCTGGGCTTAATGTCACATGGACACTTTATGGAAAAATAGAATCTGCTCTGTTGCCAGATCCAGCTGTGTCTGTGGGCTACAGGAAAAATAAACATGATTGGAAAATCTGTGGTGCTCAGCTGTGTTCATTTTTAACTCAAACCACACATCCTCTCAAAACCTCTTACTGCCCAGCTTACCTTTGGATCCTGATGTCTCTCTCTAGCTCTTGAAATACACTTGTGCACCCCCTTCAGTGAAAAACCCAGAGGATTTATCTGCATGTATTCATTTTGGAGCTGAAACACCTGCTTTGAACAGCCTCTCCCTCTGTCCTGACTCCTGAAATGTTGTGCAGCATTTGCAGGTTGTCTCTGCCTGATTCAGCAGCCTGGGCTGCCAGGAGCTCTGTTCTCACTACAGCATTAGCTTTTGACTCAATATTTTGTGTCTGCTCTCACACCCAGGTCTTAGGCTGCAGCTGCACAGGGAAGGCATTTTGGGGGATTGGAGCTGCTGATTTACCAGCACAAGAAAAGCTCCCTCAGTGACTGGACACTTGTGCTGTGAGCAGGTTGCAGGAGCTTGAAAACACCCATCTGCAGTCTGGGAGGAGGAAGAGCTGAGCAAGGCAGTGTGTGGAGAGCAACCCTCAGCATCTTGATGCTTTTCTTGCACTCTCTGGGCTCCCCAGAGCCTTTGCAAACATTGTTGGACAGAACCAGATCCCAGCTTGGTTCCCAGCACACAAGAGTCACTGCCCACTCCTCAGAGCTGTGTGCAGGTGTTCTCACCATCCCCATGTCACACTGGGACTTCCTCCCTTCCTCATGCACACAGCAAGGGCATTCCCTTCCACTGTGCTCTGGCATCTTTGAGCTTCTGAACTTAATGTGGCAGTCCCTACAAAAGCAGTTTGCATTTAATGTGGCAGTCCCTACAGAAGCAGTTTGCATTTAATGTGGCAGTCCCTACAAAAGCAGTTTGCATTTAATGTGGCAGTCCCTACAAAAGCAGTTTGAATTTAATGTAGCAATCCCTACAGAAGCAGTTCCTGGGTCACTGATCAGTTTAAACTTGTGCTGGCTCTACCTTAACTTGCTGTCTCACCCTGTAAGCAAATCTTAATTCCAGGATCCATCCTGAGGGGCTGTGCAGGGCAGCACCCCCTCCCTGAGGGCTGTCACCAGCCCTGCAGAGTTGGCACAGCACATCAGTGCCAGACAAGCAGCTGCTGTTTGGGGTTGCACAAAAACAATGGGATCTTTCTTGAAAACTTCTTGTTCTGCTTTCCTTAATTCATTTTCTGTGCTGGAGGAAGTGTCATTTCTACCCACCTTGCACCCCCCTCAGCACAGCTTTAGCTGGCCTGTGGTATGAAAATAATGATGTTGGAGTGAAAGTAATTTGTGCCCAGCTGCTGATTCTGGAATTCTGTGAATTCTGTGAATTCTGTGAATTCTGTGAGCTGCTGCTGCAGAGCTCCCCAGAGGCACAGCCAAGGAGCTGCCTGGCTCGGGCAGATGAGTCAGCACAGGAAAAGAGAAACAAAAACAAGCAGATGGAAGAAATGGAACTGACACACGAAACACACAGCAAGCGAGGAGGACTTGAGGCCCCTAATTAGTGCCTGCAGAAAAATTAATGAGCAGCACTGCCAGTGCAGGTGTGCTGCCAAAGAAAGCATTCCCCATGGATGGGGAGCAGAGCAGGGACAGGCAGGGACAGGCAGGGACAGGCAGGGACAGGCAGGGACAGGCAGGGACAGGCAGGGACAGGCGGGGACAGCAGGGACAGGTGGGGACTGGCAGGGACAGGCAGGGACAGGCAGGGACAGGCAGGGACTTCTGGAACAGCCAAGAAAAAAAAAAATATGGAAAAAAAAAAATAAAAGGTGTCAGCCAAAAAAATGTGCATTCTGCCAGAGTGAGCAGGACCAGACTCAGATGCAGACATGTCCAGAGGAGGTTTGGACACAGAAATGTGCAGCTCATGAGAAGGTAATGAAAGCCAAAATGCAAATGCTACCACAGCTGAGCTGGACCCAAAGCATTCATCTGTCACCCTTGTGTACAGCCCAGACATGCACTGCTGGGAGCCTTCTTTGAAGGCTTGGGCTTGTGGCTCAGAGTGGGATTGAATTCTGGGCAAATGAGTGTCCCTGTCCCTTCTCTGCCCCTCCTCAGAGGACTCCAAGGCTTCTCTCTGCAGTCACAATTCAGCAAGCAGCTTAATATTCTGGCACTGGCTTCTCCACCAGCTTTCTTGTCTAATAAAGAGTGTTTGGACTCCCACAGTAGCTCATTTAACCAGACTTTTCAAAGGAGCTCCTCTCCCTCACTCTCCTTCTCTACAGAGGAATAAACAAGACAAAACAGGAAGCAAAATCAAAAGAAGAACAGAAAAGGGGAAAAAAAAAGATTAAAGTCTGAAGGAGAAAAGGAGAGCCACAGGACAGATCAAATGAACCCACTGTTGGGTTCCTTCTCCTCCAAACCAAAACAGAGTCTGCTGGGAGAAGTTTGGGAGTCAGCAATGTGTGCATATATATATATATATATATATACACACACACATACACTATATATATGTATATATACACACTATATATATATCAACACAGTATATATATATTCCTCTATATGAATATGTACATATTCAGAATATATATATTGTGTATATATATACAGATATACAATATATATAGTCATATATCTATATTTATGAAAAAATATATAAATAGGAGTAGGTGGAAAAGTAGTCAGTGGAAGTTTTGGGATTGTCAGCATGGGAACAGCTCCAGAGCACGTGCTGAAGTTAATGGCAGGTAATTCAGGATAAAAAAAGCAGCAGTAGATGTGTGGGGGATGTGGCCATCGCCCTCACTCCCAAGCACCAGAGTTCTATTCAAAAGCACCAGGAAACCCAGACAGGCAGGGACAGCAGGGACAGGTGGGGACAGCAGGGACAGGTGGGGACAGCAGGGACAGCAGGGACTGGCAGGGACTGGCAGGGACAGGCAGCCCCTTCAGTCTGGGTCACAGCAGAAATTGTTCTGCCCCCAAGAGAGGGAACTTGTGGATCCTCTGGCAGCCCTGGCAGGGCAGCAGGCTGAGGGTGAGTGCTGCAGGCTGAGCCCCAGCAGTGATGGAGGGAGGGAATGTCCTGGGAAAGGCAGAGCTGAGTGATGTGACCAGCAGCGGGCTCAGGGAAGGGCTGGAAGGCCACCACCAGCTCCTCAATAGGCCTTTCAGAAGGTTGCTAATGAGAGATAATCACTGTCAGTGTCGCTGCTGGAAAGGAAGGGATGGGACTGTTTTCAGGCTCAGAATGATTTATTGCTCAGACAAACATCAGTCTCAGGGGCTGTGAGGTTGTAGAGGAGCCAGCATTCAGCCATAGCTCACAAGTTCTTCATTACAAGACAACACAGAACTTTCTAACACAATGGACAGTTGCCACAGGATTTATTTTGCTTTTCTAACCTATCCCCTTTACTCACTTCTGCTGCACTGTGGATGTTTTTACCCAATGATCTTCTAACCCACATGCACACATTGGCTTCTATTATAACTTCTAAACTTTTAACTTATACAACAACACCCTTTTTATTTTATATAACCCTTCACCATTTTATCAGTCCAGTTTCTCCCTTACTTAAGGCACATTCTCACCTACAACTATAGAAATGCAGGTTTATGATTAAAAATGTCATTCAGGGCTCCCACTGGAGCCCAGGGTGTGGGACTGTGGCTTCTGACCCCATGGAGAGGGCTCGTGGGCCCAGCCCAGGGCTGTGCCTGCTGGGGCAGGGAAGGCGCCCAGGGCACCTCCTCTGGGTCTGGGGGAGGCTCCAGCCCACCCAGAGGGGACAGGAGCTGTCCTGCTGGCAAGTGGGAAACCTCAGGATCAGCTGGGGATGGAGTTTTCCTGGGAGACTGGATGCCCTGGGCTGCTGCATAACCAGGAGAGGGGACCAGGCTGCCCAAAAAAATGACTCAAATAGCCCAAATCAGCTGGGAGTGCTGGGGCTGGAGAGAGCTGCCCGTGGCTCACACGGGGGGCAATCCCTGCTCCCCTCTGTGCCTGCCCTGGCATGGGGCAAGCCTTGGACCTGCTGGCAGGGGATGGAGGAGCCAAGTTTCTGTTTTTCTGATTCCCACAAATCACTATGTGTGAGATGGCAAGAAAAAGCCCTTTATGACTCCAACTTGGGCTTTAAGTGTTAATTAATGGACACCTTCCAAGTCAGGATAACATTACAGTGACAATTCCCTGTCAGCAATCCCATCTGTACTAACTGATCTGGTGTTTAATGTAATAGCCTTGACCATAATGACTTTAAATTATTGAAAAGAAATCTATAAAGCCTTTATTAATAATTAACAATGTCTTCCTGGTGTGTTATTTTAATAAAGCTCCATGACCTGTAAGATTAACAAGCAGGGGACCCAAGGGAAAAGAAAGGAGAATGGGTGATCAAATAGAAAAAAATCAAAAGCAGCTAAGAGTTCATTTCTTCTGCAACTGCAGCAACAGGAGTTAGAACTGAATGTTTGATATGTGTGTGTGTGCATATATACATACATATATATATAATATTAATATATGTTTATCAATGTATTAGAATGCATCTTTCTCCAGTGTATTTTGTAATGTTTACACCCACTTCCAGACTGTTTAGACTTCTACCCTTCCAGGAATGAAATGAGATCCCTTGCTCCCAAACTATCAGCCTCACAATTTTTGTTCTGATTTGACCTTGCAATTTCCAAACTCTATAATTTAATTACAGAGTTTATATATATATATATATATATATATATATATAATATAATTTAAATATGTATTTTTAGTAATGGCAGGTGCCTCTGTACCACTGGATTCATGCATAAAATCACAGAATCACAGAGCTGGGTGACACCACTGAGTCTGTGAGCCTTGGAAAAGCAGATGTTGCTGGTCTGGCTTCCACTGCAGCCACTGTGGTGAGTTATTAGTGATGAGTTATTAGTGATGAAAAGTCTTTCCAGCAGCCCCCAAATCCATTACCAGGACCCCAAGGTCTCACCCCTCTCAGAGTGATGCCTGAGCCTGGTTTGTTACTAACTGTGACCTTCAGAGGT